TTATAAACTTAATTTTTGGTTAAAATCCCCTCCTCTCCAATGCATAGTAACTTTTTTCTATAGCATGGAATTCCAGTTTTTTTGGATCGGAGTTGTGTTTTTCAAGGAAGTGTTTGCATACACTATGGTTAATAAAACCCTTTTTAATATTTCTTATGTGCTCACTTATACGTATATTAAGTCCCCTAGTGGTTTTTCCTATATATTGTAATCTACATTTGCATATTAAAAGATATATCACTCCTTTTGACTGGCACGTGATGGGGGATTTTATCTTAAAAGATTTTCCAGTTACGTTTGATACAAAACTTTTTTTTGTTTTATTAGTGCAATCAGAGTTTTTACATGCATTGCACATACCACAATGGTAAAAACCTTTCTGTGTTTCTGCCCAATTTGTTAAAAAATTATTTGGTTTCTCTTAATCAGTATAGCTTTTTGTTAAGATCTGCTTAAAATTCTTTGCTCCCCTAAAAACAAACCTAGGTTTTGGCCCTACATGCTTTACAATATCTTTGTCTTTTCTAAAAATATGCCAATTTTTCTTAATTATTCCCTTTAAAGAGTTGGTTTACGGCATTCATATGGTTTCCTGTTCGGCGGATTGGTGTTCTGCAGTAGCTGTTTAACCCTTTTATGCCTGGGGGGGCCGTTACATATAATAACCATGAATATGGCGCGAACTTGGTCCTCTATAAGAGGTATATTGATGACATCTTTTTAATTTGGAGAGGACCAATAGAACTTTTAAATTTTTTTTTAGCTTTTTAAATTCTAATACATGGAGTATCAAGCTGACTAAAGAAAGCAGTAAAACAAATATTAATTTTTTTAGATTTAGAAATATATATTTTAAACAACGCAATAGAGACCAGAACATATTTCAAACAGGTAGATGTGAACAGCTACATCCAAATGGATAGCTGTCACCATCATCCTTGGTTAGAAAATATACCGAAAGGTCAATTTTTAAGAATGCGTAAGAACTGCTCAAAGTTAACATCTTTTACTGATCAAACAAATGTTTTAAAAGAACAATTTGAAGAAAAAGGATATTCTGAAAAAGTCCTATTAAAAGATATTGATTATCTTCAAAATTTAGACAGGTCCCAACTTTTAAAATATAAAGCGAAAAATACATCTAAAACAAATGATGAAATACCTCTTATTTTCAATTATGCGACCAATGTCAACTCTTTAAAGGGAATAATTAAGAAAAATTGGCATATTTTAAGACAAGACCAAGATATTGTAAAGCATATAGGGCCAAAACCTAGGTTTGTTTTTAGGGGAGCAAAGAATTTTAAGCAGATCTTAACAAAAAGCTATACTGATAAAGAGAAACCAAATAATTTTTTAACAAATTGGGCAGAAACACAGAAAGGTTTTTACCATTGTGGTATGTGCAATGCATGTAAAAACTCTGATTGCACTAATAAAACAAAAAAAAGTTTTGTATCAAACGTAACTGGAAAATTTTTTAAGATAAAATCCCCCATCACGTGCCAGTCAAAAGGAGTGATATATCTTTTAATATGCAAATGTGGATTACAATATATAGGAAAAACCACTAGGGGACTTAATATACGTATAAGTGAGCACATAAGAAATATTAAAAAAGGTTTTATTAACCATAGTGTATCCAAACACTTCCTTAAAAAACACAACTCCGATCCAAATAAACTGGAATTCCATGCTATAATAAAAAGTTACTATGCATTGGAGAGGAGGGGATTTTAACCAAAAATTAAGTTTACAATAGTGATGTCGCGAACTGTTCGCCACGGACTCCAGTCAGCAGACACATACCAGCCAATCTGCAGCAGACCCTCCCTCCCAGACCCTCCCACTTCCTGGACAGCATCCATTTTGAAGCTGTTCGCGAACCAAGACGAACCGTTCGCGAACAGTTTGCGACATCACTAGTTTACAAGAAACCAAATGGATCTTTGAAATGTGCACATTAACACCTAGAGGGCTCAACATTGATTTTGAAATTAACTGTATTTTATGTATTTAGATTTTTATGTATTTATTTCAAACGTTTGAAATAGGTATCTGCTGATACATTGTCTTTTTAATGAAATTATTCTTACTATATTCTTTCTCTCTTTTTATGGTTAAATTAACATATACTGTGGACTATCTGGCATCTAATTGGAGATTAATTGGATCTGGACGATATACAAATTGCCAGATATATATTACATAAAAGACTGCCGTTCTTTGAACTAATATTTATGGAGAGGTGGAGTCCTTAGAAAGGAGGAGCTAACTACTTAGGAAAAACGTGACGAAAATATGCTGTCCGGAAGTAGGCGCATGACTATTTTGCAAAATAAGTCGACCGGAAGTAGACGCACAGTCATTTTGGAACTCCGGAAGACGCTCACCGGAAGTAAAGTCACCGCCATCTTGGAATTCCACATATTAAAATGAACATGTGTTTTCTGTCTACCCCCCCCTTCCTTTTTTTTATTTTTTTTATTTATCTTTTCTCTTTATTTATATATGTAAAAACAGGAAGCTTTTTTTTCTCTTTATTTATATGTGTAAAAATAGACAGCTTTTTTTTTTTCCCTCTCTTTATTAATGTATGTTAAAACAGGAAGCACCACCATCTTAAATGTTTTAACACTTCACCTTACCTGGTTCCTGAGTTCCTGCTAAGAAAAACTTGTTACAGTGTATCCCTTGGTGGATGAAATAACCTTTACAGTCCAGAGCCTAACTTATGTGGCTCTGGAAAGTGTGAGTGAACCTTTTTTATTCTCCACATATTGTAAATAGGTTTCAACAGTATAAACTATGTTGTTTTCTTGTATATATTATATATAGGGTCCACAGTTACTGTCTGTTGCTGAAAATAGGACCTATACAAGATTTGAAAGGTAAAATATTCCACTGTTTGTGCGCTTTCACCTTTTTTTCTGTTCACAGTATTTGACGCTTCTATTTGATTCTCAGATATGAAGTTCAAGCCCCAAATTTACTATTTAGCAGATTAGCACACAGAAAATTAGAGTTTCAAACTGCGCTGTAAGCGTAGTTGTTGACGCTTCTATTTGACTCTCAGATTTGAAGTGCACGGCAAAAACGTACTATTTAGCACTTTAGCAGCAAAACAATTAGAATTTTTACAACTCCGCAGTAAGCGCACTATAGAATTAGAATTAGACGTCCAGAAGACCTTAACAATATATATAATACATATAGATAACAGGTTTAGAGAGATACATTATACACACGGTGGACCTAAATCTCTGATAGATAATCAAATGTGTTTTTAAATAGAAGTGTAAACTCCTGTGTGGGGGTTAAGCCCTTATAATTGAATCAATATGTAAACAAACTAAATCAGGAGTTTGTTAGGGTTAGGTAATTTCATCCCTAGTTGTCAGGAGTCCTTATAAAAAAAATATTGTTAAAATTTAACGTTTAATTATATATGCAAAATTAAAATTAAGAAAAAAACGGGGATTATTTACTAAAGGTACCAAATTTTCACCAAGTGTGAACAAGTGTAAATAGTAAGAACAAGAAAAGTCAAAACACACAAGAAACAAAGTTGGATAAAACTAAGAGCGGATAGCTCTATAGATTAAAAATTGTTGTCAAATGGAAAGACCAGAAGGATGTAATATTTTCTGATCTAACTCTATAGATTTTGACAGCTATGTCAAGTTGATCAAACAGAAAGGTGCTGTCTAGTGATGTACCGAACGGTTCGCTGGCGAACGGTTCCTGGCGAACATAGCATGTTCGCGTTCGCCACGGCGGGCGAACATATGCGCGGTTCGACCCGCCCCCTATTCGTCATCATTGAGTAAACTTTGACCCTGTACCTCACAGTCAGCAGACACATTCCAGCCAATTAGCAGCACAGCCTCCCTAGCAGACCCTCCCACCTACTGGAGGCATCCATTTTAGATTCATTCTCAAGCTGCATGCTTAGTAAGAGGAGGGAAAGTGTAGCTGCTGTTCATAAGATAGGGAAAAGCATAGCTAGGTTAGGGATAAGGGTATGCTTTTTTTTATTTTTTTTTTCTATGTAATGTAATTGCACTTAGTTGTCTGCCACTGCTGCCAGCTTCTGTGTCAGGCTCACAGTGCATACTGTGCCCATTTCCCCAGTCAGTGCCACCAATTACATCTGGTGTCACAATAGCTTGGATTTAAAAACAAAAAACTTTTTTCACTGTTATAGATTGAATAGCAGTCAGTTGTCAGCCACTGCTGCCAACTTCTGTGTCAGGCTCACAGTGCATACTGTGCCAATTTCCCCAGTCAGTGCCACCAATTACATCTGGTGTCACAATAGCTTGGATTTAAAAACAAAAAACTTTTTTTAGTGTTATAGATTGAATAGCAGTCAGTGTCCTTAAAGCGGGTGTGTTACGCTAACAGTGGATACGCTGACAAGTGCCACTAATTAGATCTGGTGTCA